AAAAATTTTTTCAATGAGTGGAAATGTTTTTGCCTAAAATTACTCTATTCATGGCATAAGTAACAGAGCAGATGCTGACATTTTACATAGAAGGTTTCTCAGTAAAGCAGCACTTAATTAAAAATGGGGATTTGAGAGATGTTAGAAAATTTCACATTTACCATAAAAATATCAAATATTTAGTTTATTTTCTTTTCAGGAGTGAGCTAGTAAGCTAGCCTATTATCTTCTCATTTCCCTACTGTTAAATGTTAGGAAGGCATTTAAAGCTTTTATTAAAGTGGAAACTCTTAAAAACAACAATATTCTATCATCTTTCTCCAAAAACAAAGTATTTAATTTTGACAGAGCAATAAACTTTATAACTCTGTAATATGCAAAGGACAATAGCCATGAAATAAATCTTGGTAATAGGTTTAAAAAAAAAAGCCTATGACCAAGTGATGATATCACAATGAGGCTGCTAGTTTAGATAGGCTTGCTGGAATTTTCATGAACCACACCTGGTACTCTGGAAATGAAATTCCCTATTTATTTGAAACCTAAACAGAAGGAAAAAACACACATCTCAACTGAAACACCTTAATCTGGAAACCAGAACATTCAGGCCTACACTTTGATAATTGAAAATAGAGAAGCAAAGTTGACATTCATTCCTCTGCCTTTCAGATCAAGTCACTAAGACCTCACTCTCCTCTCCTCCTCATCTGCTTCCCTGTAACAGTGTTTAAAGAATTCAGAAAGAAACCAATTCCGAGGTAGCTACCATTATTATTTTTCTTTATAATTATTTCATGTCTTCAAAGCAAATCAAAGCCTGGTGAAAGTGCCAAAATGCTGACAAACAATTCCTGCACAGTTTTGATGGCAGGTAACAGTGAATAAAATTCACATGTACAGCTATCATTAAAAGCAGAAATGATAAAAGAATTTCTACATTTGGAGGTAGAGCTTCAAATATATTAAAGATATTTTGAAAATGTGTCCAACATATTTTTTATAATTAAAAAAGGTTAATATTTAACTACTACCTTACGTGTCTACCCAAAGAGCACAAAAATACTAATTTGAAAGGAAAACTGCACTCCTTTGTTTAAGCAGTAATATTTGCAATAGCCAAAATATGGAAACAACTTAAATTCCCTAGAGATGATAGATGAGTTGATCAAGAAGATGTGGTATATACACACAACGGGATACTACACAGTGATCAAAAAAGATAAACTCATGCCATTTACAGCAACATGAATGGAACTGGAAGGATTATTCTAAGTGAGGTGAGCCAGAAGGAAAGAGAAATACTGATGGTCTCACTTAGATGTGGAATCTAAAGAAACCAAACAAAGGGGCAGACAAAGCCACACTGTGAGACTGGCTCTTGAAAGGAGACTGTAGATATGAGACATACAGGAGAGAGGTAAGGAGAGGAAGAGGGGGAGAGTAGAAAACAGGGGAGAAGAGATCACAGAGGACGATCAGCACTTTGGTGGTGGGAAAACCATGGTGACCACACCTAAGTAGAGAACTCTTGTATTGTGAAAAAAAATAAGGGTGTTTAAAAAATAAAAATTTATATTTAAAAAACCCAGCAAAAAAAAAAAAATGTAACTGCTGTAAAACAAAAGCCTACAGCTTAACAGATATTCTTTCACTGACCCATGTATTTACTAACTGTCCCTCTTTTGCCATGTACTATTCATGGAATCAAGAATCAGTTGTAAATACAACAGACAATAACCTGCCCCTCCTACAGCTCATATTCCAATGGTGCAAGACCAACAACGGCAACATGCTGGGCACTGCTCTCATAAAACCTTATCTTAGAAACCTATTCCTGAAAGTAATAGGAACATGGAAAAAAGAGCACTAAAGTTGGCTCTTACCTGTTGGAGTTCTTCTAATCCACTGGCTTTATAAAATTTCTCCAATAATGAAAAACAAGCTTTAATTATGCTGAAGTTGAATTATTAATTTGATACTTTCCTTATGATTAGCTTCATTGTGTACTAAGAAAATCTTAGATTGTAGGTATTTTTAAAAAGACATCTTTTCCCCAAATGCTTTTAAAATTGCCATTTCATGTTTTAATATTTTATCCATCTAGAATTAACTGTGGGCATGTTGCGAGGTAGAGATTCTATTTAATTTTCTCCCTGCATGGCTACATTATTTGTCTCACAGGCATTTATTACATTGAAAATTCTTTTCCTTGCCAGATCTGGTATGTCACCTCTGTATTCCAAGATTTCATGTCTGTGTCGATTGAGTTCTATATTTTATACTCTAATTCATTAGTCTATTTATGTCTATTTATCTACCCCTGTGATTAAAATTTTCTTTAAATAAATCTCATAGTGTTACAAAGAGGGGTTATTATCGAGCGTGATCTCCATAAAAAGGGGAGGTTCCATCTTCTCTGCCCAACCTAAGAACAGGTGGAGCTGAGCAGAAGGAAAATAAGAAGATGACTTGAAAGAGTCACATGGGGCAGAGATGTGAAGGAGATGTACTTGATTATCAGCTTTGGAATTGCACCAGAACTTGGAGGACATGGAAGGAGACAGGGAGCCAAAACATGCAGACACATTTGGAAGAGACATGGGTGAGAGACCCATAGGGAGACTTGACAATGGCAACTGTTACCTTGATTAGTTCTCTGATTTTGTTCCTCTCATGTCAGGTCTTGTATGGCCCCTTCTGCCCATCTCTATGTTTCCCCACCAGAAGGCACTTTAACTTGTGGCAACTTTTGGGCCTCACAGCTCCACTTTGGGCCAACCCTGTTTGAGTGGTCATTTACCCATGCAAGGATGAATAAGGGTGTTTTATTAGAAAACTATTACCTTTTAGTCTCTTTCCATACACACTAATGCTATTGAAGTTCTCTCACATTCAGAGAATTCTTTGCCTTATGTGGCAGCCGATTGGAGAACCCATTTAGACTGTAGAAGTTTGGGGGCCCTGAGTACCCTTCAGTCTGTCCACCAACAATAACACTCATTACATTATTTATGGGAGTAAGGGTAATGCTGTGACAGAAGACAAGACATTAATCCTTACCACTTGGTAAGCTCTTAGCTATAGTGGTCCTGACCTATATAGTTTTTTGTTTTTATAACATCAAAATAAGGATTTCTAGGTTATAACCTTTTACACTACAGATACAATGCCAAATATACTCCTGAATACTGTAAAACAGTTTCTCAGTTACGACAGTTCTTTTTTTTTTAAAGATTTATTTATTTATGCATACAGAGGTGGGCCAGAGGTGCAGGGCTGTGAGAGGATTCACCAGAGACAGAGTGAGGAGCAGAGCAGGCCAAGTGACAAAGTACACTGCTGAGGGGAGCAGTGGGCAAAACAGGAGAGGTCTGCTGAGCCATGTGGATCACCTCCGGGGCAGGGATCAAACTCATGATGAAGTGGCTTTAGCTTTTTAGTGCTGTGCTTTAACTCTTACAGATGGCAAACAACTCACTAGAGTATGCACTTTTCATATGTAAACCACCCCAACCCAAGGCTCATATCTTCCAACTACTTCCATTATCTAGCTCTTATACATCTAGTCAATATCCCTAACTACCCTGATTAACCCAGGTCAGCAACTAGAGATAAAATACATCTTCCAAAGCCCACTGAAATTATTCAAACTATCCAACTGTAAGTCTTCTTACCCTGCCTGGCCTTTTCTTTGCCACAGAAATAACCATAAATATTGTCCCATGTTCTCCCCTTTCCTTCTGCCTCCTGACCTATCCTGGTGCTTTCCCATTTGGGCCCCCTGAATGGTCTGCTAAACCTCTTGTTTCTAGGGTCCTGTGAATATAAACTTCTTCATGACAATCATTTCCACATCTACATGTCTTATAACTGATTAAAACTAATTCCAGGTATGTTAAAAAAATGCCCAATAAATTTAGTTGTCATTTTCAGCAAGCATGAAATGGCTTCAATAAGAAAGCAACATAAAATTAAATATTTAAATTGCCAGTGATTAAGACAATTAAGATTTTATTATTGGTTTTATTATTTTAATCACCTGATATTTGGTTAGAAAGTCACTGAGAAACCCAGATACATTCAAACTGGTTGACACCCTTTTTTAAGAGCAGGCTAACATGAGTTTTACTTCGTGCATTTATGAAGAAATTGTTCTCTTAAGAACAGAAAGTTAAATTGTGATAATCTTTAAGCCTTATCATATTACAGTTTGTCCTTTACACAGATGACAAGATGAACTATTGAACTGAGTGTACTGTTCTCCATATTAGTAATTCAAGGAACTTAGTATCTGGAGGAGTTAATAAAAACAGAGTGCATCAAATAGAATTACCTCACACAAGCTTATTAAATTGAGCTTCCCTGTGCATACTCTGAAATGGGATCGAAACTAATTTTTACGAAGGATAGACCAGAGAAGTGATCAACCAATTTTCTTACTTTTCAATAAAAATATTTAAAACTAGTTCTTGTTTAAGTAACTCTGACTAACTGAAGGCTCAGTATTGCCTGTGATAGTACAATGAAGGTGAGTTTCCCTCAGACAATTTGTTACATTGGACCTAAAGAAATCACAAATGTATAAATGATTCTCAAATAATTAAAGGAGTTGCAGCTGCAATTCTGATATGAATGTAATCAAAAGGAGTAAAAAGTACTGCATGTGTAAATGCATTTGCATTGTCAGAACACCATGAAAACCACTTTAACTCTTGCATTAAGGGTCTACCTAGACAACAAGATTTTCTCTGGGTTTAAGTTTTCTCATCTGTGAAACAGAATTTGAATCTGTAAGAAAGTCCTGCTTAACAGACAGAATCAAAGATGGTGCTACAAAAGATTCTTTGTAAACTTAAATCCCATATAAATTTAGTGTTATTATTTAAAATCATGGTTCACTGGTGTTCATTTTATTACTGTGGGTCAAAACTTGCAACTAGGAAACACTGGGCTCTTCCAACTGTTAACAGTGTGTGATTCTTTTTCAACTATGCAGTTACCTGTTAAGTTTGAAGCATCAGTGGGACTCAGCTGTAACCAATGGCGGGCATCAGAGTCAGTCCCAGCATCTGTGGGAGTGTTCAGTTCTGGGTCTTCATCACAGGTCTGCCAGGGGTTCATGGCCAGCTCTGTCTCACTGTTGTAGCCCAGAGCTGTGTCGCTGCTGACGCTTTCACCTGGCATAATGAAAGAGCCAGAATGTTCACAATTACCAACACATAAGTAACCAAACAGCTGACACAACAGGACTCATTTAGGAACAGGGGCTCAAAGGTAGATATTAGGCTCTTGGTCAATAAAACACAGCTTCCAAGTGCAGAGCACTATGAACTTCACTTCCTATCATTTGAGCAGCGTTCTTTTCAAACTTCAACTCAGTTATCCCATGTTTATGAAAGATTACACCAAGCCCTTACATTTTCTACTGCAAGTTATTATTACTATAAAATGGAGGGAGGAAGGGAAAGTATGGGAATTGACTACATCTCAAATCAAAGTTTATTCTGCCAGCGAGAGGAACCTAAGCAGTTTTATACCTTGAGCCTAAAGTCCAGGCCTCACCCCTGTTTGAATCACCAGGATCAATGGGGATGAGGTTTCCCACTGCAAAACATTTTCTGTAATAGAAATTCTCCCCTTAAAGCACTAAAAAGTTCTAATTTGTCATAATACAATGATACTTTCAAAGGCTAGCAAGCCTTTTATAGGCCTATTTAGTCTGACACAAAACAGACCAGTCTGTTGTTCAAATTCTCCTACTTATTACAATTTTCTGTCTACCATTTTTTGTCTGCTCACTCTTCCAGCTGTTCCTTGTATCTGCTGTTGACAGTTATTCAGCCTTGCTGTTTCTAATGTGCTATCTTCTCTTCATTGGCTAAAAACTGAAAAATTTCCCAGTAACCAATCAGTTAGGTGTCTAACCTTAATAACTTCATCTGTCACAGCACTTTAAGTCAATAGAGTCTTAGGTAGAACCTAAAGGAGTTCTTCTACACACCAAGTAAACTGTCCCGAATATGCAGGACTTCTGTACTATGCTGAGAAAGTGGCCTGATACCCCCTGACTCTAAGTGGAGTGTTACAGCTACATTTGATAGTATACAATAGTATGTCTCAGGATGTGAATCAACTTTAATTTTTTAAATACTTGTGCTATTGACTTCAATGTATTTCTGAAGCTTTTTGCTCCTAGCTTGTGAGAACTTTCTGGGAAAAATAATTTCCTTCTGCACCTGTCTACTTATCAAAGACATCAAGACTCAGTTGTGCCTCTAAGGTACAAGTAACTGATAGGAACTGCTTTATTGTATGCTTTGATTAACCACCCATTGATCCTGGGATTCCAGGAATAACAATATCCCATTTCACAATCATGTCTCGTGGGATGACAAGACAGTATTCAAGTTAGAAAGTGAGAAGTTAACAAAATGCATCAACTCTGGAGCTAGATAAATACAGACACCATTCCCTGGAACTTACTCTTTTGTCTTTCCCTACATTTTCCTTGTGTCTGCTGCAAATCATCTTTTAAATCCAATTCAGCAGGGCTACTGCTTCTTCGAACTAAGATCTTGAGAAAAAAAGAAATATAGTTATAGGAAAGTTTTAATTTTCACAAGGCTGTTGAGTTTCTAGTCCACATATCTAAAGAAAAAGAAAGAATAATAGCAGCAAAAGTCTGAATGTTTTCAAGAATTATGACATTTGAAATTTATGTGTTCACAAATTACTGTAATAAAATCATAAATTACTCAAGTTCTGAAATTTATGGGCTCTACTTAGTCAACTGACAGCCAATTAAATTCATCTATTGAGAAGAGATGCCACATTATATGGAAATAATTATTTTAAAACTCTATTTGGTCCTCTGCTTGTGCACTCACACACACACACACACACACAATGAATATATTTCTCCAAAAAGCTTTAACTACCCACAATTGCAGACAGGAAAGGCATAAACTCCACTTAGACTTTTAAAGGTCACTCAGTGTCTCTTCCTTGTTAAATGTGAAACAGACTTTCCTGAACACCACTAACCATTGGATCTTGTATTCAGTACAGAGGCCTAAAACATTTGGAGGTAATCTGTAGCTTCTAACATTTAGAGAAAACATACACAAAATACACAAAATGACCATAGTGTACACAAGTAAAATATGCAAACAAATGCTCTAAAAGGTATGCAGAATACAGCAATTACCTTAATTTGCTCAGTTATGGGAGAGCTGTTCAAGAAGGCAACAGACATGAAGTGGTAGAGAGAAGGCAGGAAGGGATTCAAGGCAGGAAGCACTGAGTGGTAATCAGCAAGTTCTATGTGCAGGAAAAGAAGCTGATTATATCAGGCCATGCAGGGCAGTCAGGTGAAGAATGAAAAAGGTCAGAAGAAAATGCTTACTAAAAAGAGGCAATTGTGAATGGGCTATCAACATAAGGTTCAGGAATTTCAACCCAATACTGATAAAATGAGCAACTGTATGTTCCTGACCATAGCTTTGTAATTAAAAACATAATAAGAAAGATAAATCTAGGGGGGGTTATCTGTGGGATGGGTTACAGTTGAAAGAAAATTGCTACAGAACTCTTACAGTGATTCAAGAATGAGCAGATAAGGCTTTTGATGATAGAAAAGGAGAAGAAAATATGAATAAGAAAATGGCTGAATAATGACAGGTAAGAGTTTGTAGTCAGCAGTATATGGGAGTGGAAGAAAATTAAATCACAAAAGGACATGAATCTAAGGGTCCAAGAAGGGAGGTGGATAAGGAAGGAGGGGAGGAGATAGTGAGAAAAAGAAGGAAGGACAAGTGACAGACAAAAGAACCTAAGGATGTTTCTGATATTTGAATATCCATCCCTGGGCTGCATATTTAAATAAAATGTCCTATAAATGGGCAACAAAAATCTAAAAATGGTGAGAAAGAGGATAAAACCAGGAATGAAGATGTAAATGAACCTTTAGTGCAGTAAGTATAAAAAATCTGAAATTCAATGTGCCAACTAAAAGGATAAATATTTAACAAGTAAACAAATGAATTTGGAGACCAGGATATACAATTAATAGAAAATTATTAAACAAACCAGAGAAATGGGTCACGAGTAAAATATTGATGAGACTAATGGTGTATGACAAAATATTATACAGCCTTAAAGAAAGATGACTAAAATCTAATTAGAAATATAACAGGACATATCCCTAAGTGAAAATCAGAATGCACTCTCTTCTGCTTTTGATTTAACAGGAGATGAAATATCCACTAGCTAAAAAACTAGACCCTGCATTAAAAACTGGGGTTGCATTTTGGGGCTCACAGAAAGGAAAATAAACCTCCACTTGGTGATCCATATCACTCCCCTCCTCTGCAAAAGTAGGCAGAAACCCAGGGTAGTGAAATGAGTTTATCAAAAGGTCAAGTGCAATACCACCATGGCCAGTGGCAAAAGGAACAAGAATCTAAGATTAAGGTAACACTCCCAGGTTCCTGGGAGACATAAACAGGGCCCTAGTAAAATTACATCACTTTAGACATCCAGGTTTCCTATACATTAAGATTAGCTGGTAGGAAAGCACAATCAAAGATTATCAAACACAAAAGGAAGTAAATTATTATGCACAAGAAAGTCTCAGAACAACAATAGATATAGATAACCTCTCCAAGAAGTTCAGATAATCAAATTAAGAATTCAAAACTGCAATCTATGAACATTTTAAAGGACTAAGTGATGGGAATTACAAAAATGTACAAGCAACAAGACTACTAGAAATTACATGAAAAGAATCAACCTGAACTTTTAGAACCAAAAGATACAGTTTGTGAGCCCAAAAAACCTCTAAGTATTAAACAACAGATTGCATGACAATATGAAAACTTAACTGAATAAAAGACACATCTGAAAAATTACCCAGAATGTAGCCAAAGGGATAGAAACAATAGAATATATGAAAAGAAACTTAAGAGACATGGAAAACAGAATAAGAAGACGTAGTATATTTCTTCCCCAAATTCCAGAAAAATAGAACAAAGAATAAAATAGGAAATATTTGAAGAAATGGTTGCCAATAATTATCCAGAAACAATGAATACAACCACAGGTAACTTGGCATACAGCATATACCAAAAAAGACAAATGTATAGATTAAAAGAAATTGCACTTAAATATTTTTTCTTTTTATTTAGGGTTTATTTATGCATACAGAACTGGGGTACAGGCCAGAAGTTCAGGGGTGGGGAAAAGATTCACCATAATTAGAGTGGGGAACAGAATGATGAAGGATACTGTTGAGGGGAGCAGTGGGTGTGCTGTGACACTAGGGAGGGCCTCAAAATTGCACTTAAGAGAAAGCCTTAAATATGTAGATCTTGAAGCATACAAGAATATAAAACAGTTTTTCCATATGTATATTTTTAAAAATCTTGAAACAATCTAAATGTTTATCAAGGAACAAGGACAGAGAATGGCAAGGAACAAAACATAGGATGGACAGAAGAATTCTGTCCATAGCAACAATGAAAGACAATCTATATAAAAAATAGCTTCCATTAAGAGGAGTAGGGAAGAAAAAAGTGGGAACTATACCAATTGATGTTGTAGCATTGTTCGGAAAGTCAAAGTTAACAATGAGTCAAGATAAGTCTACCATATCCCTGAAACAGTGTATATAAGAAAAAGATGGCCTTCAGATAAAGGAAGGAAAATTTAATTCAATAAATGGTAATCCCCCATGTAGGAGAAAAACTGATATTGTATTCCATTCTCATATCACAATCTATTTCAGATAGGTGAGAAATTTAAATGTGTAGAGCAAGCCAGAAACATTTAAAAAATGTAAGGTAATATTTCTATTTCTGTGAAACTGATATTTTAAATATTCATAAAAACCTAAACATAAAAGTGACTGATAACCAAACACATCAAAATTAGTAACTTCTGCTCAACACAAAACACTATGAAGAAAGTGAAAATATGAGCAACATATTGTATTTGCCAGAACATAACCAAAATGGTTATGTTGATACAAATTAAAGATATAAAGAACTGATACAAATTAAAGATAAATCAATATAAAAATGGCACAGAAATCAGTAGGTACTCTATACATGAAAAACACATGTTCAATTAACAATGGAAAGATTTTAAACTTTGTAAGTACTCTGAGAAATGCACATTAAAATGAGATCCCATGTCACCCATGTGACAAAATAATCAAGCCTGACAGTTGCAAGTGTTGACGAATATATGAATGAATGGCAAGTCTTTATACATTGCTGACAGAACTGTAAGTGGTGTAACCACCTTAGAAAATACACTTACTTGTGTAGGACATTCTTCTACTCTATGGTTAATTAATTCTACTCCTAGAGAGTCACCACAGAGAAAACCTTAAATATGTAGATCTTGAAACATACAAGAATATAAAACAGTTTTTCCATATGTATATTTTTAAAAATCTTGAAACAATCTAAATGTTTATCAAGAAAATGGAAAAAAGATATGATATATCCACAATGAAATACAGGACAGAGAAAATACAATGAACTATGGCTACCTGCTGTAATGTAGATGAACTTTAGAAATATGTAACTAAGCAATAACATCACTTTAATCAAATTCAATAACAAGCAAGACTAAAGGATATATTGTTTGGAGATACAATATATAAAGAAAAACAGCAGAGCAAAGCAAAGGCATGATCCGAACAATGTGAAAATAATGCTGTTCTCTGAGGGGAGGAACTTCAAGGCAAAAGCAATTACAATGGTACTATTTTAGTTCTTAAATTGATTGATGTGTTTGTGGGGTGCTTATTTGATTATAGAAATATAAACAATTATACACACAGAGAGAACATACATATATGAGCTAGTACTTGTCTTTTAAAAAATAAAGACAAAAAAAATTAATGCTGTATTATCTTCCAGATATGGAGTAGGGAGGTTTTTCTTTTACACGTCTATGTAATGTTAGTTTTCTATGAATATATATTATATTGCTTTTTATAATGAATAAATATGAGTTTCCTCTGTGAATTATGAATGATTTTTAAAAGATTTACTTTTATAATTAGTATCTTTTTAAATTTCAGTAAATGCTATTTTACAGAAACCATAACATCTTTACAAAAACTCATTTATTGGTAACTTATGTTAGGTGAATACTACTACCTAAAACTATACCTGGAAGAGTGAATCTGTACATTTTAGACAAGGATGCCACTGAAAACTACACAGTGCCACAGACAGACCAGATGGTAAATTATATTTTCATGCTATTTTTTTTGTTTATTTTTGTAATGTCACTATACTTTTATACAAATAAGCAGTATATTTTAGAAGAACTCAAGATCATTTGGAGATACAACCCATTTGAAAAAGAAAAAAGAAAAAAACGTTTAAAGGAAAGCATCAGTGCCACTAATAAATTCATTTATTGTGTCAGTAATTTATATGCTTATTTTTTATGACAAACTCATGTGGTTTAAAAATATATCTTACTGTAATTCCTTCATGTTCTTTCTTCACATGTCCTTTATTTTCTTGAATAGGCTTGGACTCTGAAGAACTCAAAATTTGTGCATTTTCTATCTTTTGACCTACAGATTTGAGGAAAACAGGAATATTTTAGAGGGCAAATTAGAAAATGTTTTTTATAAAGGTTAACTATTAAATTTAGATATCCTATAAATGTAAAGACAAATGTTAACGGCCTCGCAAACTAATAGCCTGTGGTCACGTCTGCATTATACAACTGGTCTCTCTGACCCATGGAGAGTTTTTGAGAGTAGACTGAATGTCATTCACTGTGACCAGAAGTACACAGTGGGCCTGTAGATCCAGTCTGTACATTATGCTAGCACAAGAAAGGGACTGTTCCTGGGGCCTTGGGGCACAGAGCTCAGAAAAAATCTAACTAAGTTTCACCATGTGAGCCAACAGGAAGAAGAGAACAGTAAGGTAGTTCGATATTGCCTGAGAACAAAGAGTGATGAGAGAAAGCACAGATAACCAGCATTGGTAATAAAAAAGGAAATATCACCACAAAGCCAGCAAAAAATATTAATGTCCTAAGAGGATTTTATGGGATAAATTTGAAAAATACATGAATTGAACAAATTAATAGAATAACACAACAAAATTAAAAAAGGAAAGTCAGAACAGTTATAATTGTTTTTAAATCTGAATGTAGAAACATAAAATAAAATTTGAATGCATTTTAAACCCTGCCTGACAGAAAACTCCAGTCAACTGGCAGATTCTAACAATCTTACATACCTTCTGGTGAACAAGAAATCATTCAGATAATATATTTCAAAAATTAATTTTTATTGTATTTTCTTATTCCAAATTGATTTTTTAGAGGAACTATTTTCCTACTCATCTGATAAGGGTAACATGGCCCTGATATGAAGAACTAAGACACAGCTGATTGATAAATAAGTCTGATTGACTTCTTAGTTAACTCAATATTAAGCATAACTCAAAACAAAGTCAATAGCAATTTAGATATGACCTGTTACTGTAAAGAATATTACTCACTGTTTGCAGGTCTAACCACTGCCCTTTTGTTTTTAAGTCCTGTTTTCTCCGAAAGTTGGAGAAACTGTGGTTAATGCTACCACGAGTTTTATTTTCAACCTCAACAGAGACTACAAGTTGCTAATAACTTCACAAGTCTGTTCAACTTTCCATTCTCAATGTCAGGTTTCATGTCTCCCTGCCTTCTCTCCACCTTGCTGTTATTTTTGACACTGTGGTCTAATATTGTCAGCTTCCTCCCTACTTCAGTCACTCTGGAGTTCTTTCTAGTCTGCCTAGTATGCCATACTAGAAGAAAGTGCACGTGTGTATATATAGTTTGAACCTATTCAAATAGTGGAAACATTTCATTGTCAGAAATCATATCCCTGTAATCAACTCACAAAATGAATGCCTGTGTAACACTTAGAATGAATGTAGAAAGCAAGAGGGCACAGAGTTTTTCCCAGCCAGAACACTCAGTCCTGGGTTAACAAGGGAAGCGCCTCCGCACCTTGAGAAGCATCTGAGCACACAGGCTCAGTGACGTCAGGGGTGCTGCTGCTCCGCAGGATCTGCTGCTGCTCTGCCGCCAGGCAATCAGGTCCAGGGTCGACCGCAGATGCATTTTCTGACTGCTGACATTCTTCCACTTCTGTGGGCATTAGCATAAAACACGCAGGGAGGTATTCCAAGATTTGTAAAATAATTTCCCCACTAAAACAACTGATTCTAAAAACGTCGTTTTAAATACTCCCCCCCCCAAATTATGCAAAAGATAATCTTTTATGTCATAAAGTTTCCAATCTTCTTCATATTAATTAGTGCAAGAACACATTTTCCCTTAAGTGCTACAAAACATTTTATTTTTCAACCCAATTACAAAAGAAAAGTGTTGGGGGGGGCAGGGTCAGAAACTCACAGAAATGGTTGAGAACTGCAAAAGTCATTTGGAATTTCAGGGACAGATATGCTAAGGAAGAGAGGTCCAGGAGATACATGGATAGCTAATTTACCTTTGAGGAAAAGTTAAAGTGTCTCTGTGTCTTTCTATTTCTCTCTCTCCCTCTCCCTCTTCTCCCTTTCCCTGTCCCTCTCCCTCTCTCACACACACACCTAAAAGAAAAAAGGAAACATAAGGAATTTCAAATTTACTGATCCTTTAAATGATAAATATACAAATGCCTAAATAAAATTATTTAATAGTATACAAAACAAAACCAGTGCAATATTGAATTAATCATTGAAGTACAAAAATCACCAGTGATTTTTTTTTTTTTTCAGAATACACAACACAAAGTAGGAAACCATAGAAGAGAACTAAGTACTGGATAATCATGATAGTCACAGTCAACATTACAAGCTTCATTCTCCTAGTGAAGAAACTTCCTCCTGTCCCATTTCTAAACTTCTTGATTCATTTTGGTCTCTAAAAACAATACAAGGCACTGGAAGAAACACTTGACCTTCATTATCTAGAATCGTATATTCTAGATAGATCATAGATCTTTTGCCTAGCTTATTACTGACCTATGAACTGGTCACTCTTCCCCTGTGCCTGTGAACATTACAATCCACTATGTGGAAACTAGAAAGTTCCCTTAAAAGTAAAGATCTGATTGTGTTACTCCTCTCCGCAGAAGCCATTCTTCATTCTACAGGTAAGCCCATGTTCTTCCTGGTAAACACAGAGCTCTCTTTGCTACTCACCACAGACTGACATCCCTGGAGGAATGCTTTTTCACATTAGTCACAAGCAATTCATACCCATTCGGCACCACTGTTCTCTCCTTCCTGTTCACTCTTCTACACTAACTTCAAACCTACTCCCTGCCCCCTTCCCCATAGTGCTGCCTGGACAGGACCTGCTATATGTTCCTGTGGGACCCACCACTGCATACCTCACCAGACTCCATATTCACTCTGTAGTCACAAAATTTCACATCCACATAACGTCATAGTGTCCACAAATTTTAATGAGTTGAAAGTTTCCTTCATCCAAAATGAGATAGATCAAAATTCAGCCGGTATTATCTTACCTGGTAGCGCTACCCTATTCACTGCTACCATGCCACTTCATTTAACCCATTATTCTGAGCCACAAGCCAAAGCGTTGGTTTTCCCTAACCAATCCGTTGTGTGCAAGAAATCGAATATACTAACATCTAAATTGAATATATAAGATTTCAACAAAACACTTTCTGCCTTATTTTTACTATCTAAATAAAAATTCCATTTTAAAGTACACAAACTACAGGACCTCCAAACTCTGTAATTTGTGTGATCTTTCCCTTACAATTCAAAGTACTAAGCTATGTGTAAATTTAGATGCTGACAGGAAGCAGTACTTAAGGTACAAACAAAGGAAAGCCAAGGTGGCAGGTGACTTCCTTTTGTCTTGAATGGCCAAAATGTTCATTTTTTCCACAGACAAAAACAGACATATTGGTGATCTAGTCACACACCCCAAAGCACAGTCTACATCCCTTCCACAGGTCTACTGCTAGTGTCTTCAGGATTAGGCCACGGAAGCAGACAACACCTTGGTGTCAGCTCCTTCTGGCATCTTCTTTCATTTATCCTAATTATGGAAGACACTAAAACTCAAGAGTTAATGAACATATTTTATTAGCCAAATATCAGTAGAGGGAGCCCAAGAGCTTTCTAACTCAAAAAACTACTGGCAAGTGCCAGCTTTTAGCAGTGGGAAGAGTGGATTTTATTCCTTTAAATTTGATGCCCAAAAACTGGTAGACATTGGTTTCTGGGCTATGGGCAGAAACAAGTAAGCGCTGGGCCAACACTGGCAACATCTTTTTAAAGATAAAGAACATCACCATCTGGTGGGATGCAATACAGCCATAGCACCATGGCTTCCAAATTCAAGTGTCCCCTCTGGTCCTCAACACAACAGATGAATGAAGAGCCTGCCATCACCAGCTGGTCTGCCTTCCCTACAGGCTGACCTAATGCAGCTTTAAGGCTTTGTTTTTGCAAAACTGTTGGTAGGGACTTCTCAGATGGAGTAGGCCCAATACCAGAAGTAGTAAGAGTGGGAGCAGTCATGAGTAGGGTGAAAAGGAGGGGAGAATCTCAGTGCAAAATATGCTGTTAGGGCTACTATACTTGTGTTGGCCTGACCCACCCCTATGTAACACTATGAAAAAAGAATTATGAATTCTCCTTATCCTACAATTTAATTTCCATTTCTGACTTGTCAGTATGTATTTCTTGGCCTTCTCATACTCAGTACTAAGAATATACGCAGTATATGTTTTGTGTAAATGAATGTTTTTTGGATACTTATTCCTTAAAAAAACAACAAACAAACAAACAAACAATTCTTGAGCTCCCTCTGCTGGCTTTCTGTCTGTTAAGAAAAGAATGATTAATGTTAAAGCTACTCTATTCTACACTAAAAATGTAGCAGATGGGATATACAAACATGGATATACAAAGATACAGGACACTCTGATATTCAAAATAGAAAAGGAACAATCTAAGTTATATAAAATTGTAATATAAATTTTTGGGTTACTTAATTTCATTTTTCCCTATTGACAACCAGCATGGTTAAAGTGTGTAAACTATTCAGATATTTGTAATGATTCCAGATATCAAGTTTTAAAGCAATTTCACTGTATATATGTATTTTTTACTCAGGTTTATTACATGGAGTGAGATTCAATTTTCAAGGACCAAAAAGGACCAAAAATTCTGAGTTCTATTTACCCCTCAGACAATATCCCACAAACAAAATTAAGAACATAATTTCTTAACTTAAAACTTGACCCTATCAAAAGTGAAAGATGTAAAATGCATCTTGAGGTTAGACCTGAAGGTCAATTTTTTTAAAGATGACTCAGTCTGGATTCTAACAATAGCACTTCCATACAGTAGCATACTACCTGTAAGCCCAAGAATCAGATGCAAACAAAGTTGAGAGAAACTTTTGGTTAAGTCCTGTCATCTCTTAGAATGAGGTGAGATCTCTGCTCCTCTGATTACTAATATTACAATTTTGTTGTTTAAGTGAAATCTACTGCATGCATGGCCTGTAAGGATTATATATTGATAAGTTTTCCAACATAAAAGTGACTAAAATTGCAAGAACTGCTATCAGAAAGAAAAAAAGGGAAGTTATTGAAAGTGCTGAGTCTACCTTCCATGTGTTCATATAGCTATCCATGCCACTGGGATATAGGGGTTCTGACTTTCTTAGAATTCTGTTGCCATGAAATAAAGACTCCTAGAGGGAGCAGAGTAAATGTAATAGAGGCTGAAAATATCTATTTTTCTACTGTTTATATTATCATAGTAATTTTGATGGGTTGAATTGTCATATAGATTAGACACAAAAACAAAAAATGTTAACTTAAATGAAAGCAGAATTAGCGATCATTTTTATATCAAAGAACTGTGCCCAGAACATCAAATTAAACATTTTTATTATTATGTAGATGTGTAGAACCTATATTATCTATACTTAGCAATAGGCTAGCAAAACATGCCAACATACTAGGATTTAAACAAGAGCACAAATGTATTATTCCAATATGCCAGCCAGTGAGAAGGAACATTCTGAGCTGGAGGATAGATATTAATTGACTCTTGGACCAGTCTCTTGATAGGACAGTCACAAAAGACAATGGCATCACTTTGACTGTAAAGAACAAATGGCATCAAACTTAAGAGGAACTCACAAGTGTTGGTGTCAAATTAAACAGAGGACAGTAGGTTCATTCTTGAGACACACCACAGCTAAGTCCCTTTACCACTGTGCTATAAAATCAGAAATAAGAATGGCAAAGGCAGGACAATACAGATCCTGCAAATTCATCACCTTCTACAAATGAGAATTTCTCAACCTCAGCACAGCAATATTTTGATCAGATAATTCTTTGTGCTGGGGGCTGTCCTGTGGACTATAATATATTTAACTAATATATCCCTAGATACCAGCAGCAGTGCCCCAGTTGTGACAATCAAAATCATTTCTTAACATTGTAAAATATTCCCTGGGGGATAAAACCAGCCCCAGTTCAGAACTACTGCTCTAAATCATACTAAACTTCTATTAGAACAGTGTGTGTCTATATGGAATCAAGAGTCGGAGTAAACTAAAATATAATGCTGAATGAAAAAAGTTTCCGAAATGAGGTTACTAACAGGATGAGGTTTCCTATGAGAATACATTCTGGACAAACTAGTAAAAAAGTAATATGGGGGGTGGGGTGGGGGAGGGTAGAAGGATGGGAAAAACTGTGAAATAAGAAAACCTTTTATATAAAAAATATCCTTTTGGGTATATATCACATACATAGAAAACAAAACTATTTTGAAGTATTTCTAAGCAATAGTATATATTTTCTTTTGAAAACCAAATACTACAACATAAATACTCATCAGTATTTTAACTGGTGACCATCTTCCCATGAACCATCTTTATTGCTTTTCACCCCCAGTAATCAGCAGAAAAAAGTTTTCTAAGAAACATTATATCCTTAGTTAACTTCCTCAATCAGTCTACAAATCAAATAATATTTTATATATATCTATAGACATAGATATATACTGTGTGTGTATATATAAAAATAACAGGAAAAAGAAACTTTAATTTTGGTTTAATGAGCCACAGTATATAATGTAGTGTTACAGAAAATCTCAATTGACCTATCTCCAATAGTGAATAAATACTAATACATAATACCATCTTTCTGAAAATGAAAATATTTACTTCCTCAGTATGAAGATTCAGTTCATCTAAGAATAATTGAAAAACAAGTAAACAGAGATCTAATTATTCACTATTGAGCAAAGTAAGACTTTTTGTTGAAGTGACTATGCTAAATATCACTTTTGATGTTGCTATGTCTTAATAACCCAGAAAACACACTGTGTGTAAACCAAAGCCATAAGGCTCAATTTTAATTGGTGACAATCCAAGAATAGTAATTCTTTGTTTTGAAAATTGGCACTTTTCAGTATTGTTTTAACTCAAAGCTCAATAATCAGCATGAATCCACATAAACTGACTGTTACTTTATACATGATCATGATGTTATTAACTCCACAAAAGTGTTAGCTGCATAACTTTTCCACTTTACTCATTTTTGGGGGGGAAGCAAGACAAGTATTTTAACAATGAAATATTCAAAATTTTTATGTAAATTCCTTTCAACTCTACAGATACTTTATAGGACGCACACTCAAATAACTGTTTCCCCTTATTGAAAGTCATGGGCCAAAAAAAAAATCCTTCCATACTTTTACTAGGGGAGTGCAAAAAGCTGTGGAGTTACAGAAATTTTCTTGACTAGTTACTAATAAGCATCTAAACTCATAGAAATAATTATTAGTATTCATTCAATTTTATAGTGCAATGGCCAAGCACACATGCGTGATGTGGGGATATTAACAGAGTATTAACAGAGGAAGCAAGGCCAAGAGGCAGGGGGAGAAGCCCAGGTATATTGACGACACAGTAGACAGTGTTACAGTACCTGACAGCCTGTGAGAGCAAGAAGAGTAAGAGAGACCAGGTAAGAGAGCGCTCACGGTGTGGAGGAGGAGCGGGACGCTTTTAGTGGCAGGCAAAGCCTCAGAAAGGTGGACACAGTTGCTGATAGACTGGCTTCGCTTAGCTTCCAGGAGAGATAAAGTAATAGTTATGTCAGAAGAACATCAGGATCTTTCACTTCTGATTACTATTATCATCACTACAACTACTATGGGTTCTCTTTAAACATCTAAAGGAAGTCATGTTAAGCTTTAAAGGAAGTACAAGGCACAGCCAACTTTCAGTTATTCTGATGACACAGGAAAATGGACAGTTCACAAATTATCAATCTTATTTTAGAATTTTTACATATTAGCCTTTTCTTTTTTTCTGCTGTATATTAAAATTAACATTGGGCTATGTGTTTATTTGGGCAGGCATTAAATAAGCTTCCTTTACTAAAAGACAAGAACAAAAAGAACTCAGGGAAAGAAGGGAAATTACTCTCAGATTAAAATTTCTCTAAAAAAAGTGAACAATTTAAAAGTTAGTCTACTAAGACATCCAGATTTGATAGTTTAAAAAAAGTGAAAATCTCCCTGAAACTCATCATTTTTAGATCACATTTCATATTTATTAAATTATATTTTCTTAGATTGACTTTGTGATATTCTTAGGTTTCCTATATACTGACAGTTAAATGAATACTTGAGAAAGAATGGAGATAGGAAAGAGTATATCATGTATAAATATAACTATATAACTACCACCAATAAAATCAGATTTTCCTTAAAACAAAAATATAAAAGTCTACCTGCTATTTTAATATATTTTTTAAAGATTTATTTATTTATGCATACAGTACTGGTATACAGGCCAGAGGTGCAGGCAGTGAGAGGATTCACCATAGACAGAGTGGGCAGCAGAACAGGCCAACTGACAAAGTACACTGCTGAGGGGAGCAGTGGGCGGGCCAGGAGAAGTCTGCCACACCATGTGAATCACCTCCCAGGCCAGAGATTGAACTCATGCTGAAGTGGCTTTAGCTTCTTAGTGCTGCGCTTTAATCAGGGAGGGCCCCTGTTTCAATATTTTATGTGATTTTTATATTAATAAAATGAATGAAACAGAACTACAAACTAACTTTGTAAAAAGTGCAACAAATTTAAAAAAAAAAAAGTGAAACAAATTTTTAACTTTCCTGACTCTTCTCCTATCCTTTGGTGATTAAAATTTCCTGTTCTCATGGACTATCTGGAACACAATTACAGTATAATTAACTATGTGCAAGATAATAGTTAATTGAAAACAACTTCCATATAAGTGCCAAACTGAATTACTTCAAATTTCCTGAAAGATTTGTTTTGAAAATTTTGACAAAAATTTTCATTCAAGTGTTGCTTTAATTTTTTGCTTTATAAAAAAACTGTGCATATTTTAAAAATACAATCCTGTGTGGAAACTGACTTCCTTTTATCTCTCACTTTAGGCATATAAAATGTTAGTATCATTCACACTCAGCTACAGTTTTATTTTGTAAGGTTGCCCCTGAAAGTCCCTATATGTTACAAACTAGTGTACTCTCCATTAAACGTTGTGTCATTTCCTTACTATGTAATTGCTTAATTTATATTTCATTCATGCCACCACCACTGACATTTTCTCTTTCCCATTGTAGTCTGTGCTGCAAACCAAAGTACTAAATAATTCTCTTACTTCAGTAAAAAAGTCACTTTCAAATGGGTTTTCCATAATGTACATTAAAATACTAAGAGAAGCAAAAACTACCTTCACGAGCTGCTGTTTTCTCATTAAAATCTGGTATCTCTACAAGTCAAAAATTACCATAAAAATATTCTGGACCTTTTTTCTTCTTTTTAAAAGAAAAAAATACTACACAATGTTAAGAATAACTACTAATATTTAGTTGTATAAATGAATCACACAAACAGCACAAGAAACAAAATCTTCGAAGACCACTGTATCTACAGGCAACAAAAAAGAAAGTATTTTTATACTTTTTAAGAGTGTAAAGTAATATAGGTAATACATATATATGTGTGTACACACAAACATATGTGTAAAATACATGAAGATAATTTGATATATCCACTGCCCTATCATTTAAATGTTATAGTTCCAATTTTTTAAATATAATTAATACTACAAATTTGAGATTTATGGTTTTTAGGTGACATACTATAAAATATATTTATAGGACTTTATATAATTTATTATTTTGTAAATACTATGATTCTCACACACATGAAAATACTGATGAACAGAAAGTCACTGGTATAAATACATCAAGGATTTTCTAAAATATCTCAATACCTATACATTATTGCTTTATAATATTTGCTGAAAAAAAGTAATATGCAATCTCCTCTAGGACTGTAATTTGGTCAAGTAGTAGCATGTGGAATATGCAATATACAATAATTTGCTGTTCATTAAAGTGTGAGGATAAAGCTTTATAGGTGTTTTAAATGAACATTTTTATTGTGACTATAATTCAAGAACTGTGAAGGAAAGCAAGAGTATGGACATTCCAGGCATGATGCCACCTTTGTTGCAAACTATGTTCTTACCGCTTTATTTTAAAGATCCAGTGATAGAAGAAAGGAGCTTTTAGGAGTTATGATGAAGAGGGAAATTGGTAACTAAGTCTACCCAAAGTCATATGTTACTGGAAATAGACTCTTGTTACAGGGGAGAGGAGGAAGGAAATCAGTAGAACAAGAAGCTTGTGTTAAAAAGGTGATAATTACCCATTAATGTTATAACGAAAAATACCAGGCAGGCAGGGTTAAGGTATATTTTATTAAAACTTCAACAGGATTATATGCCGCCATCTGTCTTTACTAAGCACTACAAAATACTGAGCTTAAATGACTCTTTGATCTACTGTAAGAAGATCGTGATTTTTTTTCTGAAGTTAATGTGCTGAGTATCAATTACAAGTTAATGGCATTACTGATGTGAAAA